CATATGTTCCTTCAAACAAACGCTGAAGGAACTATGTTCCTGTCGTCACTGATTAGTCACCGCAGCGTGACTTCTCCTCTCCACCCACAGCCTCCACCCAGAGACATCTGCAGCTACAGAGTGATGCAGCATCATGAATAATCCAGCTCGTCGTCGTCACCTGCTCGCCGTGTGACCACCCCCCACTTTAACGTGCCAGCCGCCTGAGCTTCCTCAGGTCATGAACCTTTTGACCTGGAATGAGGGATGGCAGTGTTGTTGGGGCTGCGGGCGGCCTCACACGAGTTTGTGCACTCGCCTGGAAACTCACTCGCATGTAACGCAGAGAAAAAGAGTGAAATATTTACATCGCCGGGGAAGAGGATGTTGTCTTTTTTTTTAAGCGTGGAGAGATGGCGATATCGCTGGAACATTCTTTGAAGTATGTAGAGGTGGAATAAATATGGAGGCGTTTGCATCTCATGTTCTATGCTAGAATGAAACATCATGAAAAACACCACGAAGACATCAAGTATTAAATTAATCATTTCAGAGAACAGTGGACACATCTGTCTATATTTATTTGTTTTTTGCATTGTGTTTCTCTGCAAATGTCATTCACACTGCCAGCTGTTTTACTGTTTCCTTATTCCTACTTTATCAACACAGATATTGCACATATTATCCCCATCTTACACAGGAAGTGCAGCCCACTTCTTCTGAAACAAAAGTGTTTCTGTAACATCTTGAATGGCGGTTAAATTGTACCTGAGGGGTCACCTGAGAGTCTTCCTCCCAGTGTGGAGGCGGGATTTGATTCAGCTGCTGTGGAAATGAAATAAGGAAAAATTTGATTTCATTTAATTATTTATTCATGTTGGCGATGCAATATTGAGCCACCTGGGGTGTTTGTGTGTGAGTGTGACTGCGTGTGTGTGTGTGTGTGTGTGTGTGTGTGTGTATGGGGGGTGGGGGGGGGGTTCAGGTGATTAATGCCTCAGAGAGAGTTTGACTCATTTGCATGCAGAGGAATTTATATGACCCGCTGAAATGAAAATTATGCTCAGACACGTCGCTCTCTGCAGAAATAGGAGAGAGGAAAAGACAAACAATAGAAAGAGTGACTCGGAGCCGGGGAGAAGAGGACTTAAGAGTTCTGCAGAGGCACACGCTGGAGGGAAATTAATGGCATGAAGAGGAAAGGTATGTGGAGGATTCTGTGTGTGTGTGAAGAGGAAGATAGAACCCTGACTGTGTGTGTGTGACCCTCAAGGGGATTGATGGTGCGAGTCGTGCGACTGACTTGCAGCATCATGATGATCATGCATTTGTGTTTCTCTCCTCCAAAAGCTCTAGAGTTTGAACAGCAGAAAGGCATCATATCAAAGTTGAGCGTTCCCAAAAAAATCCAAGACAAAGTACTTTAAATTAAAAAACAGTTCGTAAAACTGTTCTTCTAGTTGAGGTTGAATCATAACACCAACACAAACACATTTTGGAAAATAAAATTGAACAAGAAATGTCACAAACGTTTTTCCACTGTGCATTTGCTGACTGGACCATTAAGCAAGACTATGTTGGCGCATACTAAGGGATTGTTTAATATTTTTCCAAAGATCTATTTTTGGGGGCTTTTTGCCGTTATTGGACAGGACAGTGGATAGAGCAGGAAATCAGGATGAGAGAGCGGGGAGCGACCTGTCGGAAAGGAGCCACAGTTCAGACTTGAACCCGGGTCACCTGCCTAAAAGGACCAAAGCCTCTGGACATGGGGCATGACCCAACCACCAGGCCACATGTGGTGTCAGTGATGTTGAAGTGGGGTTCTATGAGGTACTTGTGAATAGTCAGCTACGACCATCTATTGTTGTTTTAATGCTTGTACTTGTTTCAAAAAGCACATTTTTTGAAGGCTAATGTAGATTTTTGGTTTCCAGCGCCTTTAATAAATGTTTTATCGAGACATCTATAACTTTATCTGCTGCAGAAAAGAATCAAAGATCTGCTCCATTAAGACAGAATAGTTATAGTTCATCCTCTGCAAACAAAAAATAGCAAACATCATTGGTTGCATAAATGGCAGATGTATGATAAAACACTTTCTGTGTGCAGGGATTTACTGTGGACTGGATTCCCCTTGCTAAACATCTGTGTTGAGTTCACCTTCTCTGCAGCTGCAGAGTGCTCTTTGTTCGTGAATTTCTCTTAGCTCGGTGGCGGTGGGAGCCCAGATGAAACATGGCCTCTTCACTCTTGATGTTAGCTTGGAGCGTGCAAGGATAGCTACTTAACACTGACAACCACCCTGTAGTCAGAGAAAAGCTCTTGTGTGTCCTAAGCTACTTATTTACTGTCCTATCACTTCTGCAGGAGATAAACTGCTTCAGCACCGGGCCAACAGAGACTATTAAGCCAGCGGAAAAAAAAACTACAGGATGGGTCTCTATTTCAGGAATCCTTGCAGTTAAACATGTCTCCTTTTTTTCAAACCTTCGACTGATTTGCATATGCACTCTCCATC